ATATTCTTTCCAAGTGCCAATGGGGGAAGCTGTTTGCAGACTAACTTTTGTTTCAACCATTATGTGTTGGCTGGTAGCCTAGTATTTTTCTTTTCTGTTGGCTGCTTGGAAATTAATCAGATTGCATTAGCCTTTACAGACTTGAATGTCATAAGCAATATCGCTGCAGATATTCCAGAGTTCAGCCCACAGTGAGTTTGTGGCTTGTGTAGTCATAGTATTATGCCCATAAAATTGAGAATACTTCTTCAAAGATGTTATCCCAGTCTCCCTTAACTTGGGTCATCCAGGTGTGTAGTCTGAGAGCCACAAGAATCAGCCAGATGGAGCAAAGATTACTGCGGCTGGCACTTACAGGACTTCGCCTAACCTGTCTAAAGGGCATTAAGGGGGAAGAGTATTTTGCATCAAAAGTGCTTTAAGATTTAGAGATATTTCTAACATATTCAGTTTAACTTCACATCCAACATAGCAGTGGCAAGGAACTGTGTCCAAAATACTTGGAGGGTATCAAATTGCCTAATCTTGGAGGAAACATAATATTTTGGGTTTTTAACCAAACAGTAGAAATCTTTTGCTCAGTGAATCTCCACCATTCCAACTTATTTTAAACAAAGCTAATGAAAGAGAGGGAGGGAGGAGAGAGAAAGAGGTGTGTGTGTGTGTGTGTGTGTGTGTGTGTGTCTTATACGGACTCCTTTTTTGCCATAACTTCCAGGTCTTTTTTTCTAGAAATTGCCTGATTTTCAAGTGTTTCAGAGATTTAAGAAGTACAATGCTGCCCTCTGGTGTTTTACAGAAACATCTCCTTTGTTCCACTAACCACATTTTCTCATGCCACGAAGAAAATTTTAGGTCTTTCTTCTGCTCTATTCTAGCCTACTTCATCCAGCATTCTGCTTTCAGATTGGCCAGGTAAATACCCAGATTGGGCAATTCACAAGCAGAAGAGGAGCAGAATATCCATCTCTAATTTAAGGTTCCCTCTATACTTCTTCCAGTACTGAATATACCATATAGCAGTGTTTCCCAACCTTAAAGTTCCCAAGGTTGGGAAACACTGCCTTAGAGTTTTAATGCAAAACACTTTAAGTGCAGCAAAGGGTGGCTTTATTTCCCCACCCACCAGTGTCATCAGTTTGTTAGGAAAACAAGCATCCATCTACCTCCTTAATGTCTAGCTGGGCACTGATAGGCAAGTCTAGACGGGTTCGGGCATTTTTCAGGTTGCCCAAAGCAAAGGACTGTCCACGGGCACACCAATGACCTTTCAGGATGTTTCTAAACCCTGGTCTAGCATTCCTCCACAGTGCTTCCCACCAACCTAGAGAGAGCCAGTCTATAATTTCACAGTTTTCCCCCAGATCTGATGTTACTGCCTTGGCCATTTTCTAGTCTTCTAGTACAGAGGCCAACCTCTGTGCATATTTTATATTAAAAAATAGCAATGACAGAACTGAATTTTTTTCAGCGAATACCATTTGGACTTGGTGATTTGTTTTATTTTGTTAATCAATAAAGTCTGGAATTTCATCATCATCACAGACCCCAAATTCCTCTTTTAAAAATGTCAGCTTAAGCATGGATATCTGTCTGTCTTAATTTATTACCTAGTTTTGTGTGTGTGTATACATACATATACATACTAAATGATAGATAGATAGATAGATAGATAGATAGATAGATAGACAGACAGACAGACAGACAGACAGACAGACAGATAGATGATAGATAATGTCACTTTATTCTATTTTATTTTAACCTACTTCTATCTTACAATTTTAGCTTTATGACTTTAAAACTAAGATGAAGCTAAAATTCTAAGGTAGAAGTAGGTTAAAATGAAATAGTCTGGGTTTTTTTAGTGATAGAGATGCAGCTTATTACAGTGGTAATAATAGTGACAATAATATTCTGTACAGTGTTGTTCTATTAGCCTGTGTTTTATATTTGGTCCTCTTCTTTAACTTTTAAACAGCTTGTCAATTGTTTTGTTCCATACTGGTCTTAGACTGAAATAAATTTTGACTGACCAATTACCAAGGATACCGTGCTTCTCTAACCAGTTTCTTACTCTTTGTGTGTTTAAAGAAAGGTGATCCTAATATCTAGTTAGTAGTCACATTATTAGCTCTGTAATCCTCAAAATCCTTTGGCTAACTCTTATTCCTCTTCCATTTCTTTCATGTTTGTTCCTTTTCATTCCCCCCAAATGAACATGACTTCTACTTCTGAATAAAGCCTTCCTTGACATTGTTCACTTGTGCTGGAGATCTCTTGGATTTGGTGAAATCTTTCCTCATCTGCAATGTATAATCTAGTTCCTTATGATATAGTTCTGAGGGACTCCCATGCATGTAGGGGAAAAATGATCCTCTTGATCTTCCCTTAATTCTTTTTTTTTTTAAATCCCCACTTTTTAAAAACATTTTTTTCCTCTGAAGTCTATGTAGGTTTGTAGGTATAGCCTGCCCTAGTCATGAAGGACTCTGGGCAATGTACAATAAGAACAACAAACCCCAATAACATAACAATAAAATCCAATCAAAACCAAGATAGAGGTCCTCAAACAATCAACTGAGGCCAAAGATTTGCTGAAATAAAACAGATTTAATTAGTTTCCAGAATATCAACAAAGTAGGGGGCTGATTGGTCTTCTGGGGGTAGTGTTCTACAAAGTGGGGCTGCCACAGAGAAGGCTGTTGTCTGTCCATACTTCATGTACCTTGCAGCGTGGAGGACTCTCTACTGACCTTCTCTAGATGGCTGGAGCACGTGACAGATTTGATATCCCAATGGCTTGTCACGTAGGGCTTTAAAGATAGTGACTAGCACTTTGAATTGGGCCCAGAAGCCTGCTAGAAACCAATGCAGAGACTTTACTATAGCATATTTTGCAGCTTCTGGGTCATCTCTAAAGACGCTAAAGTTTGAACACGACTTAGACTCAAGTCTACAGTTGCATGTTCTAGAATGCAATTGATTATCTATGAAATAATCCTTACATATCATAACTAAAACTATCTGTGCTTTAAGGAGTAATCAAAGCCACTGATTACTCCAAAACTTTCTAATTTGAATGCCTTTCTGCCTTCATTGTTTTTTGAGTGTATTATTATTGCAAGAAACACTTAAGGAACATTTGTGGATGGACATTCATAAACATGGTCACTTTATTTCCGTATTTGTAATAAAGCCCGTTGGGAGATTTGAGGACAGTCACATTTATTATATGACTTAGCAATTTCTACTTTAGTCCTGCAGTGTAAACCAATGTTACTAGCTTGTGCTGTAGAGGTCTTATTAATTGATTTCTTAATCAATAAAAGGGGAAGGTTAAAGGCCTACAGTTTGTTAGGAAGATCCAATACACATTATATTAATGAGTATTCTCCTAACCTTTTAGGATAAACCCAAGTTTAAATCAAGCTAAATAATAGAAAGGTTGTGAGAAAGGTTGGTAAGTAGATTAAAGGATCAAGGGGTTAAGAAAAATTGGAAAGTATTAAGAGGTGCCTTGGAAAAGACCTGCATTTTTTTAATGCCTTATTTTACTGTATTGTGGGTTCACCCTTAGTACTATTGTTAATGGCCTCAGCTGAGGCAGAGTGTTCAGGCAAGGATAACAAGAAAAACCCAAACTCAGTCTCTGATACAGATCCACCACTCTTTGATTCTGGAGCTCTCTTCTAAATGAGGGTTCCTCAAAGCAAGATTGCGTTGCTGGAGAAACCATGATGGCTTGCCATTGTGCTGCTGTAAATCACCAAAGTGCTAATCCTTAGCAGTTTAATTGAGCCCTTCTATAGAACAGCAGCATTATGATTGCACAAGGCAGACTGAATTCCACTAGAACTGAATTGAGAGAAAGGGCCTCTTAGAGTTTAATGGCTCCAGAGTGTTGGACTTGATTGGAATATCCATCCACTATCCATGATCTAGTCTTTGTCACTCTTCCTCAGCCTCACCTCTCTCATTGTTGTGATGAACAGACCATGAATTCTACTAAGTTCTTTCTGAAAAAGGCAAGATCTAAATTTAGAACTTTGTAAGAAATACTGGCAACCATAAATATGGCTATTTCACATTTCAAATCTCACGGCTATTGTGCTGGAGTATCTCTTCCTTGAGCCATAAGTAGCAATGTATCAGAAAGTACTACGCACTGTAGTATTAACTTCATCATCACCACCATCACTGTCACTCGGAATTTCCTCTAAGGCAGGGTTCCTTAACCTTGGCAACTTTAAGTCCCCTGCTGCTGGGGAATTCTGGGAGTTGAAGTCCACCCGTCTTAAAGTTGCCAAGGTTGAGGAACCCTGCTTTAAGGTTATTCTCACAAGACCCATGAGTTGGTTAGGCCACAAGAATAACTGCTCCAGAGTAACCCAGTGGGTTCCATTGTGGGATGGAGACTTGATTAGATTAGGTTCCAGGTTAGGTTCCTCTGAACCACGTTCACCCCCAATCCACTACATCATGCAGCGCTCCGCTGGTTCAGTACACCAGTAAAAAGAATTCTAATTATGTTCATGTTAAACCTGTGTTCAGCTACAGTGTTGTGCTTTCTTTATCCTTTCCCCAAAGCTATGTGAAAAGCAATTATTCCCAAGCTAGGGTTCAACCTTTTTTTAATGCAGCACAGCAGTGCAATCATCAAGGACAGTGACTGGGAAAAAGTAAACCACCCCAGCCTAAAATATTTATGGAGCTATAAATCAGTCTGTGAAATAAAACAAGCATTAATGCCTTTCGTATTGGCCAGGACATCCACATATAGCAATGCTGAATGATGATGTCTTAAGGGACACACAAATCTTTCAAAGAGTCATAACACAATCACTGAAAGAAAACGAATTCTTCTCTCATTCAGCCCTGAAGGCTCTGCTGAGCACATTTTTTCACATAAAGATAAAACAAATTGAATAAGGGCTTATTTATTTATTCGGCAGCCACAGTGTCTTTTCTGAGTTGATTTGACTTGCCTGTTTCATTTCTAGGTTCTATATTGAAAGCATATCTTACCTGAAGGATAATGCCACCATCGAATTGTTTTTCCTGAATGCGAAGTCATGTATTTACAAGGCAAGTCCTTGATTTTTCTTCTTCATGTTATTGCAATTGTGAAACTCAAACTGTCTTATCTGGCTAGATACTAGCTGCATGCACACAACCCATTTAACCAGGTCAAGTACAAACCTAGCAGGTGCATTTACATGATATGTTAAGTTTGGTTAATGTTGATCCTGATTAGGTTTTTGGGTCTTAGTGTGCTGTGCCAACCTAGCAAATGGGTCAGTGCAGTAACCTCAGGTTAAGCCTCTTAAATGAACACAACCATGCTGTAACATTTGACTACAGGTGGTCCTTGCTTAATGACCACAATTGGGACCAGAATTTAGGTCGCTAAGTAATGCAGTCATTAAGCAAATCACATGACTGGACCTGAGTTTACAACCTTTTTTTGCAGCAGTCTTTAAGTGAATCACCATGGTCGTTAAGTGAATCGCATTGTTCCCCACTGATTTTGCTTGCCAGAAGCCAGCTGGGAAGGTCGCAAATGATGATCACATGACCCCGGGACGCTGCAACCATCATAAGTGCAAGCTGGTTGCCAAGTGCCCAGATCGTAATCATGTGACCATGTGGGCGCTGCAACAGTCATAACTTCGGGCACTGGTCATAAGTCATTTTTAGCACTATCATAATTTTGAACACTAAACAAGTGGTCGTTAAGCAAGAACTACCTGTATTTAATTCACAGTAACACAGTAATACAATCATCTACCTAAGTCAATAGGTAACTTGAATTTATCTGATATGCTGTCAGCCCCACTGGGTAGCCCAGACCAGGAAATCAACTCCACAGAGAGGCTAAAACTACTTTTGTTGAGATTGGCTATAAGAACAGAACCTTGCAAGTATAATTGGGCTATACCACCTCCTCCTTCTTATAGTTCAGTGAATTAGGGAGGTTATGTCTGAGTTGCTTCTGAACACTTTCTGGACTTTCTGGACTTATAAAATGTTTCAGCCCCTTTTTCATAATGGTGTAACGGTTCTTGCATATTTCCATCAACGTCATCTTCCTTACTCTCTACATATACACAGTTTTAGATTGCCAAATCAAGCAGTCATAGCATGGGCATAAGTAATGTCACATGTCATGACATCATTGTGCTTCTGCTAGACAGCTACAGACATAGCAATAAGGACTTGGATAAAAAGTTTCAGAAAAGATTTCCAAGGAGCAAAAAAAAAAAAAAAAAGCCATCATCTTGGATTGCTAAAGGTTAACCTAAATAAGTATTTATGTGAGCTTAGAAGGAGGGTGAAGTTGCATCAGTGCAACCAGCCTTTACGATCAACCATTTCTGGAGTTTATGTAAGTGTAGTTGCTGTTTGAAATGATATCCAGAGGGCTGAGAAATGAGTCTTCAGTACTGTTATCAAGGAGCCAAAGGCTTGTTAGAGCTCACTTGAAGATGTCCATCAGAAGAGGGCACCCTTGCAGCTAATTCAATACAAGGATGGTGCTGTAGTTTCTAGCCAGTTGCTAGGAAATGTGCAAAGTTGTTGAAAACTCTATGCCAGAATAAAAATGGTTGCATGTAATGATGTGGAAATTATTTCTATCCTATTTATTATGGGGTTTGCGGAGAGGAAAGGACTGGCCTGTTCTTGCTGGTTACTTAAAATAAAGCCCTCTTAAGTGCAGAACATAATGTAACACATCGGCAGATCAAAAGCTTCCTTGACCTCAAGGAGAAATAACATACAGTACTCCCTAAAGTCTGAAATGGTATATTCTAGTCCCCTGTTTACTAATGAAATGACTGGGTTCACACAATACTCTAACCTTGAAAAACAGGCTATGTCAAAACCAAGGAAGTGTACTCTGCTGGTTTATGGCCATAATAAAGATGGATTGGATTGGATTGGATTGGATTGGATTGGATTGGATTGGATTGGGCAATGGCTTAATATGAGAGCCTGGTTCCAACAACATGTTGAATTAAGAAATGCATAATCTTGTCTTAGCCTAGTCTAGCACACTGGGCAAAGCCCACCAGTGAGAACTAGGCTTTTTTTATAAGGTGGAAAAGAAATTGCATGAAACAATTTCCTCTGAAATCAGCTAAAACTTCTAATCATAGGTACTGCAGAGGGAGATGGAGCTGATTCTGAAGAGTTTCTATCTATCTAAAAAGGTTAACTTAAGCATTTCAGCCAAAGATCTTCATATGCAGATGTAATGTGTGTAAAGATCTAAAAGGTGTCACATAAAGAATAATCTGATAGTTGCCAAATTCTGTTCAGTTGTGATTGCTACTGAAAGTCACTGGGGTGGAATTACACTCAGACTTGGATAGTTTGGTGGTTGATGACTTGCATTTAATGTTGATCACTATTTCTGTCCCCCTAATATATTACTGTATTTTCTCATCTTGTTTTATTGGCTGACACCGTGCTGTTGTTTTCCTTTTAGTCTTTGGCAGTAAACCAACTAAAGACATATATAAAAGGATTGTGGCAAGCAAATTAAATTGCAGTGTACGAAGATCTGTTGTAGTTATCACTATGGGCAAAAATAACGGCATCAGGGTTATCAGTGCAACCTCTTACTTTATTTGTTGTTCAGTCGTTAAGTTGTGTCCGACTCTCCGTGACCCCATGAACCACATCGTGCCAGGCCTTCCT